GCGAAATATATACTGATTTAAACCCAGGATAACACACACACAAAAACCCAAATAGCCTTTCATTTCTACAGAAGCTATTAGGTAAGGCGTCGTGAGGGTTTCAAAGAGATTAGGTTGGCATCGTGCGACTGATATAATATGGCAGGCCTTGAGGCAATGACAACCGATAATTCATCAACAGCCTTTACTAGTTCACTGCTGGACATAGGCCTCTCCTTAGAAAGGAGGCTTTTACCTACTATACCCGCTGGCCAGACGGGTAGGTACTTATAGGGTTTGTTTCAAGTTTTCCTTGTCTTTGCAGTGCTGTTGTACTGCGTAGTTTACTCAATTAGTCAGCTCAATTAGTCAGTCAGAAAAGGGTTTGTGACACTGTATTTACCGATTACACCGAATGCCGCTGTTGCGGGAATGCTGACGCAACGTTTTGAGTTATCGGTACTGTAGTGCGCTGTGAACCACAGTTGTCCCGTGGTCGTCTTGTATACTGTACTACAGCACACCCATATATATTGTATACAGTCGTGATTAATAAATTTAAATAAGTTGTTCATAGACTTATTATTTCTCTCTGTACATATACGCAACCCCAGTAATAAAGGAACAAAGTAGCGACCAGTTACAAAAGTGGTGACCCCGACTGAACTGTGATTTGGTAATTTTAAAGAACTTTTGTGATATTGTGTACAGATTGAGACTGTTTAGAACGGGCAACTCACTTGTGCTGTAGTGTTGTTTTTTAATATCGGTACTTATACGAGTCGTGATTACGTTAAACATGCCTACCGAAGAAAGAAAAATAGCCACCGAAGAGTATCATTTATCCACTATCTCCGTCACGGCAAGAATACCTGAGTTTTGGAAGAAGTCGCCGAAAACCTGGTTTATTCAGGTAGAAGCAGTACTACAACCGCAGAAGATGTCTGATGAAGCGAAATATCAAGTCGTTATATCGAAATTAGTCCAAGAAGTTATAGAGCAGATCACAGAAATTTTATTAAATCCGCCAGAAAAAAATAAGTATGAAAATTTGAAACAAAAATTAATATTGATTTACCAGGAGTCGGAAGAACGACAAGTAAAGAAACTAATAGGCGAAATGGAGTTAGGAGACCAGAAACCATCGCAGTTATTGAGAAAAATGCAGGACCTAGCTCGCAATAGAGTCACCAACGAGACACTAGTGGTGATGTGGCAAAATCACCTACCACCATCAGTCAGAGGAGTATTGGCTGTGACAAATGAAGATGATTTAGAAAAATTAGCAACTATCGCGGATAAGGTAATGGAGACCGCGACGCCAATACCCAGTATCGCTGCGGTGGAAGGAAAATCGCTGACCTTGAATAAAGACGATTTGGTAATAGCCCACCTTGATAAAATAAGCGAAAGACTTGAAAAATTAGAAACTAGATCAAGAAGGCACTGGCAGAAAAGTAACAGAAGGCGTTACGGATCAAGATCGCGATCGTCATCAGAGTCAAGGACGCGTGGGAAGACACCTGAAGATCCCAATTGGTTGTGTTACTATCATTATCGATACAAGAATCGGGCAAATAAGTGCGTCCAGCCGTGCAACTGGAAGAACGATGTCAAGAAAGGATAACAAAATGTAACCCAAACATATTATATTATATGCGTAATATAAGAATAAATAATTGTGTTAAAGTCATGGTAAATTAATATTTAAGTACGCTGCTGATATCTAAATTTTAAATAGCGTGATAATAAATGTTAAAACTTTTGTCGCTATTACAATGTTGGAATGTATTCACAGGCTTATCGCATAACAATACATAGCATACATATTAAGTTGCAAACTGTTGATTGAGCAGAAAGATGATGTCACCTTTGGTGACAAAGTAAATTCACAAGAAATATTGTTTGATAAATATACTGATTAGAATTAAGATTTTGTGTTGTAAAAAAAAAAAATATAAATATTTTTTTAAAAAAGAGGGAAATAGTGTTGCGGGAATGCTGACGCAACGTTTTGAGTTATCGGTACTGTAGTGCGCTGTGAACCACAGTTGTCCCGTGGTCGTCTTGTATACTGTACTACAGCACACCCATATATATTGTATACAGTCGTGATTAATAAATTTAAATAAGTTGTTCATAGACTTATTATTTCTCTCTGTACATATACGCAACCCCAGTAATAAAGGAACAAAGTAGCGACCAGTTGGAACAAAGTAGCGACCAGTTACAAAACCGCTATCCGCCCGGAACTCAGCCGTCCGCCGATATACTTCGGCGAGCACTTCCGCCTCCAAATCCCACGGGGGTGTCCCGGGCCAATGCGCTCGTCGCCTCCGTCGAAACGGTGCGGTAACCGCGTATGGCTCTAACCGCCAATATCCTCTGAGGGTGTGCCAAAGGCGTGCCCTATTCTGAGCGGTCAGAGCCACCGCCCACACCGGTGCACCGTATAGTGCCATTGACCGAACGACCCCCGTGTACAGCCGTCTTGTAACGACGCTGGATCCACCTAGATTTGGCAAAAGTCGCCCAAGGGCAGACGCAGCGCCGACCAGCTTTGGAGCAAGCTGTCAGAACTCGTCGAAGAGCCACCTCCCGTCGAGGATTACTCGTACCGGTGCAGGCCCAGATATTTCATCTGGGCCTGCACCGGTACGAGGACCGAGTTCACCACGATTAAGGCACCAGGGGGCGGACCACGACGGGGCCCATGGAATAAGAGGGCCTCTGTATTATCCAGGGCCACCCGTAAGCCCAACGCCTCAATGCGCCCGACCACCAGAGAGACTCCCCTGATGGCAGGGCGCGCCGCCTCTTGAAGAAAAACTTGTCACAAACCTTATACCGACCCGTCTGACCAGCGTGGTATAGTAGGCCAAGACCTCCTTTCTAAGGAGAGGCCTATGTCCAATAGTGGATTATTAAGGGCTGATGATGATGATGATGATGATGATGACTCTGTCTCAGTCTGAGTCTGGCGCTAGCGTAATAATAAATCGCAGTGATATTGTAAATTAGTCGAAGATGTTATCATGTTGTTTTTTTTTTTTATTTATGGTGATTGTGATTTTATTCCATCCCTACTAGGCCCTCTGTAGGCTTAAGGGTGTACCTCAAATGTTAATGGGACCAAACGGGAAGTAGTTTGAAATAAAAAATAATTTTCCAAATGGGTTCATAAACAACGGAGTTCTTTCTGATCATAAAATTCAACTGAATTAAGAACCTCTTTAGGGCGGTATACTATGGGGATCTTGTTTCAACCAGGGTGAATTTCCGTGCGTTTAGGCGATTCTGCCATACATATTATAGAAATCCAATATAGCTCACGTTGGACCCGTAATATTTTGTGGACGTGGTGCTTCCCTGTTTAAAAGGGTGTATGCCCATTTTACTTCATTTTGTCTCCCGCTTTGCTAAGGAGGGAAGTGGATCTACTGTATTTCCAACTCCTCCAATTTTCTTCTGATTAATTTCGTTGCGGGTTCCAAAACAGTTTAATTTCTTCCTGGGACTTCCCGAGTGTCATAACTCGGTGTGTTCGTGGGTCACTGCTGTGGATCCTGGTGTACGGGAGTTACAGTGGTGGGCGTGTGGGTGGGATTAGTCCCAACCTCTTTTGTTTAAGTAAGAAATAAAGTATCTTGTGACGAATAGAATAGTTAATAAAACAAATTTAACTTTAAATTGCTTTATAATAATTTTATTTATTTAGAAACCGAAATCAGTCTTCAATATACACAAATAGTAAAAAGATCACTATTATATTGCATTCATGCCTAGATAGCCATATCTAACATAGTACAAGTTTTATTAATCATCGCGATATAATCGTATTTATATATCTAAACTATATCACACATCATCATTCAATAAAAAACCCAATTTTTGCGATTATCAATGAACGGTAGTAACCGTCATCTGTGGGACTATTCGCGACGCAAAGCGCGTCCCGCTAACTTACTATACTTACATATTTATCGAGTATAACTTTTGATAAAAATTTTGACTATTCGTTTTGGGAGAAAATTACTAAAAAGATCCAGGTTTTCACTGATTTGCTAGAACTGTGATACAACTCAAAAGTTATAGAGATTTCATTATAATGCTGAAACTAATATTGTATCTACGTTTATTTCTTATATTTATATGATCAAAACTTTTAACACAATAAGCCAATGAAAAACATATCGAAAAACCGTTGGCTCCTTTTTAATAGACAAGAAAATGTTTGAACATTAACATTACTTCAGTTTTACTCGAGTCGACAATCGATTTAAATTAGGCAATGAGAGATTATTCCATGCTTATCGGTTTTTAACCACCTGACAACTTATTTAGCTATTGTTATTAACTATTAGCTTAAAAAACTGTTCAGCTATTTATTTTGCGATCACGTGACAGTGTCAACGACAGAATATTTGTGTAAATATACTATCAGTTGCTATTATGTTGTAGGTGCTTTTATCGTTTATAAGTTGCTTGAGGTTACGACCTGAAAGTTACTGATCCAAATAAAAATTCGATTTCGCGATTCAGCTCCAATCTACTCTCGATCTTATAGATGTCATAAAAGGTATTCTCGTAGTAAAGTATAAACATCCAACGTTGACTGTAATGTGATGGTACTGTATCGTATTGTGATCGAAATTTGATTCGATCGGTTTTTACGAATTTTTATTACGCGAATTGGCTTTCTGGTTGCATTGGGTTACGGGCAGTCAGCCAAATTTACATAATCATGTCACGCTAAAATTTAATGTTAGTTATAACAGTATCTTAATGTACATAATACGAGTATAACAAATGTGTATTTCAAATGTACCTATTACATATAAGGGGGAAGGTAAAAGTACCTAAAAGTTATATATAATCGTGGTCTCTATCTAAAGCATGTGTTTGATCTAAATCGCGATTATCGTCCATAACTTTTTATCTCACAATAAAATATAACCACTATAATTTCCTAAATATGCAAATAGTTAACTACACTACAAGAATTATTCTCGAATTAAGAATTACTCGTTATAGACAGTATTATAAACCAGCTCTTGAATCTTCATTCGCAGCATTAACTTCTTAGCTGGTCCTAATTTTTTAACGTGAGGGAGAAGGCTATTGAAGAAACCAATGTCCTCATCTTTTGTGGTCTCAGAGCCTTCCCCTGTGGCACTCTTCTGAGCCTCATCATCATCGTCGTAGAAGTCAGTCTCCATTATTATAGGTTTGGTGTCAAACTCATCAAATTCATCTTCTTTGACGCTGACTTCGTGAGGCTGTTCGATGTAGTAGCTGCTGCTCTGATCAGCGTCAAAGTGATCGGGCTCGTGATCCTGATCATTATCGTCTGGAGTGTAGTGATCATCTTGAGCTTCATTACTTTCATAATCATTGAATTGGTTGGTGAGGAACTGAAGCTTCGGGAGATATTCCCATTCTGATTCTCCTTGTTTTCTAACTTCCTTTCTCGCTTGGTCTCTTAGGTACTTCCATTTAAGTCTGGCTTCATCACCTGTAAGTAAATGTTGAAGTTTATTAGTTTTTGTGATTAATTAACATACTTTTTAAGATACTGTATAAGTTACGTGTATCAACTTGTTATAAGACTGACTAATATGTATATATATTTTGTTAAATTTTGATGAAAAAATGATATCAAGTTTACTCACTTAACCAACGGCAAAGTTTTTAGTTGGTAAGTATTTTGTATCAATAGATAAGTATATTGCCTATGAGGGTTTGAGGTATCAGTTCATTTCGGCAAATATGTCTCTTGTACTAAATAGTTTGGGAATCACTGTTCCGGAGGCTCTGGTACTAAGTATAACGTGACTGCTTATGAAAGAGAGAAGTTCCCCTAAAATCTCTTGATCTATACAGCTTATTTATGATCTAGCACTAGAATACTTTGTAAAATTATTTAACAGCCATTAATATTTGAGAATACTTTGAGGACTTTTATTGTCGCTGCAGAAAGGTACTACGTATTCGTAAAATTCGCATTTGTAATCGTATTCCTAATCAATCTTTATGTATTCCTTAGCCGTCAAAAATATTTAAAGTTATATGCGACCATAGATTCGAAATTAAATTCTTTAAATTAAGTGTCATGTTCGACATGACGTCACTTTCTATTTGTTTTTTTAAACTTTGTATGAATAGTCTAAATTTAAATCGTAAAATGTAATTTTTGATGTCAGGTTTTTTAGTTCTTCTTCTCTTTTAAGCTGTGATTAAAAGTAACCAATAGATTTCTAGATTTTTTTCTTTTTTCTTAAGACATCTCCCGCAGTAGGAATATAACCTGCGTCGCGGGGGACTTTACACACATTCATGAAACGGATACAGAACAACCAGACTCAGAACAACAATTTGTAGATCACACAAAGTGTTGTCCCATGTAGGGATCGAACCCACAACACTCAGCGCAGTAGGAAGCGGCGAGGTGACCGCTGACACCGCTACGCCATCGGGCGCGAATATTTGATATATTAATATAAAAAGGCGAACAACTTACGTGTCACATCCAATTCTTGTGCAATTTCTTTCCAGCTTTCATCTAGCTTGTACCAATTGTGGTGACCTTTCAGTTGTCGATTCCAAATAATTTCTCTTACTCTCACTAATTCAATTAGTTTACTCATATCAACATCTATGGTTCTCCTTTTATTCATCAACAGTTTCTTTCTCAACGTGTACCCTAACTTGGGCCTTTTGATTGAATCGTCAAGTGCATTGAAAACTTCGTCGGTAGTGTCATCATCGCCTTCTTCATCCTCTGCCAAGAATTGGTGATGAATAAACTTTAATTTTTGGAAATGTGGCCATTCTGAATCCGTGGGGTTCTTTTTCATTTCCTTCCGACATTGATCTTTGAGATTCTTCCATTTTTTTCTGCAATTCAGACCTGGAATTATTAAATTAAAGAAATCAATACTCATGTACAAATAAAATGCAGTTAAAACAAACCTATTTTTTTTTTATAGTATAAGGGCATACGTGCAGACGGGTCACCTGATGGTAAGCAACTACCGCCGCCCATGGACACCTGCAACTCAAAAGTCACAAGTACGTTGCTGCCCTTGGAGTCCCTCCCGCTCGAGTCAGCGGGAGGGGGGATTTGGGCTCCGGTAACCTCACTCACTCAGTGAAAGGCAACGAAAGAATTGCTTAACACCGGTTTTCTGTGAGGCCGTGGTATCACTTCGGTCGAGCCTGCCCATGCGTGCCGAAGCATGGCTCTCCCACTTTAATTACATTCAACCAATAAACAATACTTTAGTGAAATTTCAACATTTCAAAGTTCTTATTTGTCATGATTATTCAAATAACTACTCTATACTTAAAAATGAATTAGCTTTTATCACCCTTATTTGTTATTTTAGAGTTGAATGTCTTTATCAGCAATGTTTTGTACTAAATTCCACTCTATATAGACGCCAATAGACTGTGCAGAAGGTAAACCCATCAAGATTAACAGTCGCAGTACTCATTTAAAGTATCTAACTAAACGTATTTGTTAGATATACAACAATTCAATGCGCAAAGCGCTGCGCGTGGTAAATAAACGGAACATTATCAATACAAAGTAGGTACGTATAGCGGCGGGTACCGCATCGCGGCACAGCTCACCGACGCCGACCGCTATCCGCCACGAACATTAACCTTCACACAACGAAACGCAAAACGCTACTGATACTCACTGGTCGTGCCCACTTCGGCTGCTACTTCATTCCAATATCGCTCTAATTTAAACCGATTGCGGTGTCCTCTATAACTCTTGTCCCATAAACACTCTCTAGCTTGGACAGCCGCTATGAGCTTGTCCATATTCTTGGTGCGAGCACCTTTATGTACGGCTTTCATTTTCATTAAAGAGCGGGCGCGCAGGCGATAGCGGCGACGGGCGCTACGAGCGAGCTGTGCCGCGGGACTGACGACCGCCCGCGCCCCTGTCGACGGCCGCCCGCGCCCCTATCGTTCGCCCGCTCGCCGCTGCGCTCCACCGCATGTACTCACCTACTCTACTCACCGCCCGCTCCGAACTATCGCTGTCTTCTTCGCTCACCGCCTCGCTCCCCTCTCGATGGGACACGGCTGACCGACTAATCCGCTATTACGATCTTAGAAGTTTAAGTGCTTTAAAGGCGAAATTATATCTTTTTATATACATTGCTCTTCATTATTAAAACTTCATTTCTTCTCCTGTTTATAAGAGGCAATGTATGCTAAATGCAAAATTTTCTTCTGTTCACATATAGGCAAGTAGCACACACTGGGTAGTAAGAATAACAATGGACGCAGTACGAGCGATTCAATGTCGGCTTCGGGCTCTGACACAATGATAGAACGTCGTTTTCGCTCAATATAATCACGTGAGTTAAAATTCTAACGCAAACCCGCTAAATATCGAACCAAATGTCAATGTCTTTTATGAATACGGTTTTTTCGTCAATTTAAAATACTTATGAGCAGTTTATTGGTTATGTGGTTGATTTTAAATGTAGATAAAGTGGTAAACAATATGCACATTGTAGTATTATTATATAACTAATTTTAGACTTTGTTTTGGCTGTGAATAATGTTACATGGACTTTCCTGTACTTGGGTTAAATGATATTTTACATAAATAAAAATAAATGTTTTAAAAAAAACTCACAAAGATAGAAATATAGCTTACTTTTACTTACTTACTTAATGTTAAATGCAGCTGTTACACATTTGTCAATTCGGTATGTTGCAGTATTACTTACACAACACAATGAGTAAACCATTAGTTCCAAAGTACATATAAAACAAAAGAATAATTAACGGTAATTTAAACTGTAGTTAAAAATAATAAATATAGAGTATGGACGAATGTAGGTAACTATTGTGTTATTAAAGATCTCATTAAAAGATAATAAATTATTGTTAACTAACTAAATTAACATATAATGTATGCTGGACAACTTCTAGAAGTACAAGGGTAATAACAAAAATAATAACCTGACATATATGACACGAGGCTCTCTAACCACCAACTACGTAGAGCCCGTACTACGGTAAACTGGCGGCTGATTAACATAGTTATATATTAGGTACCAAATACATATATGCCTATTATTGATAAATTACACCAAGACACAGAACAAATGATCATACTCTGCACTGCATGACTGCACGGATGACGTAGTGGTTTAAGCGGTCACCTCGCCGCTTCCTAATGCGCTTAGTGTTGTAGGTCCGATCCCCACATAGGACATCACTTTGTGTGATCCACAAATTGTTGTCCTGAGTCTGGGTGTTCTTTGTGCCTGTTTCATGTATGTTTGTTAAGTCCCCCGCGACACAGGTTTATACCTAGTGCGGGAGTTGTCTAAAAAAATAATAAATTAAATACTCATCACCCAATTAATTGGCCTAGGTGACAATCTAACCCAAGACCTCTAGCTTAGCAGGCAGGATTATTAATCAGTACGCCAACAATTTGACAAGCAATACGTCATTTTCATTTATTCTACAAATTAGTAGTAACTAAGTCAAAATAACTACAGCATTTGTTTTGTGTATTCTAGCATTGTTATTAAAAAAACTTTTTTTTTCTATATTTGTTGAAAGGGCAGGTAAAATTATTTTAAATTCAAACGTATAGAGCTCCGAAAACCAAAAAAGTTATCTATAGCAGTATTTTTTTTCTCAAAGTGAACCTGAAGCGCAGTGTGACTGCCACTATTTTACTCCTCTGTGCGATTACACTGCTACAATTATATTTTAATCCGTCCGATGTCCGTGTAGTGACGGATTAAAAATACGGAAGGTCACTACCCCAATTCATCCCGTGGGTGTCGTAAAAGCCGACTAAGGGCGCAAAACAACGCAGGACACCAGCACTGCAAAAAGAAGGAAAACTTGACACAAACCCTATACCAACCCGTCTGGCCAGCGTGGTATAGTAGGCCAAAACCTCCTTTCTAAGGAGAGGCCTATGTCCAACAGTGGACTATTAAAGGCTGTTGATGATGATGATGAATTATATTTTAAAATTTTAATTAGATTAGTTCTGTAGGGAATTGGGTTGTAAGTGTGTACCTCGCAAAGAGACTCGTTAATTAAGCCAGGTCTACGACAGGTTAAGGGTCGCTGCGGCCACATCTTTGGGGCGATGTGACCGCTGTAAACGACCCGAGACAGATGACACTCCGGTGCGGCCGGGGGCTGTCGTCTAAGGCGGGATGCTGTTGCGCCTTTTACTCTGTAGAACAGTGAGAGGCGCGGTAGCGTCCTGCCCCAGGGTGACTGTGATCACTCCGGGATGTGCCTCAGACATGAGGTACGGCAGGGAGGACTCCTGTAGTCACCGATGCGTTAATGGAGCTCCTCCCGACTGCCGAGGTAGGCCAACGGAGGTGCAAAAAGCATTCCCCGCGTGAAAAAAAAAAAAAAAGTTTAAAACAGGTCTGTAGTATCTTTCTGGAGTAGTTTTTTATACTGAAATAAGTTATTTAGAGACCGGATTATATGCAACATAAAAAGCTTGTTATATGCATGCAAATATGCATGAAAAATGCTTGAAATATGCACGAAATTGGCATAATATGCGAAATTAAATGATAAATTTTAGGAACCCCCAAAAAAAGAAAACAGTAAGTTTAAATTTTTTTATTTCAAAATCAGCATACAATGAGTAAATTATTTTTTGATTGCCGATAATAAGTACAGTAACATTACATGACATTAAAATTATTATTATTTTGTATCGTAACTTTTAAAACAAAAGACACGCGCGACTACTGACTGCGGTCCTAGTCGAATTCGCGATATTAAGTCCAGTCATTTAAGCTTAAATTAGGTAAGAATCTCGGAATTCGAGATACCCAGCTGTAAGTCTGTAAATACTTGTATATTGACACCCTAAAAGTTGTCTCAAAACCTACATATGGTAGGGTGTAAGCAAATATTAAATTTCAAGGTCAAAAGTCACCAAAAATCGGTTTATTGCGCTTTTTTTGGAAATATCTCATTACCTGTGGGTTTCTGCTATTTGTATTCATTTTCAATATTGTAGAATACAAAATTCTCTACAACTTTTGTTTAAAAAAAAATTTTATACGGTGAACCGTTTTCGAGATAGAGGGCGGAGAGCGCGCGGTCACAGCATCACTTCAGGTCAACCGGTGCCTCCGGTCGAAAACGCGCCATATATAGTTGATGAACTATCGATAAATCAATGATTATAAATATTTGTCAATTTTTATTAACTATTATATTATATTTTATTATTTTTTTCCTAACTTATCCACTTTTTATTCAGTATTAATTTATTTAACAACACTTACCTGCCCATGTAATTGCAGAATTGTTAATGAAAATATAGGAATTATATTTGAATTTTAACCTAATTAATATTAATAACTTCTTACATGATGAAAAAAAAACAAATAAATTATGAATTAATCTTTTTATTAAAAAATATCATTGAATACATTTATTTTTATTGGAAGAAAAAAAATGGAATAAAGGTTACAAAAACTATAATTTATAATTTTAATCATCTTCTTCCTCTTCATCGTCGTCTTCTGGCTGCTGGTAAATTTCAAACTGGTCTTCATTATCGTCTTCAACGACATTTGTCTCAAGTTCTTCCATGATTTCGGGGTCAAAGGTTCCATCTTCGTTAATGTCGCTCTGATAATATATGGTAGAGCATTGAGACAAGCTTGCCCATTACATTTGCCACAAGCTAAAGAGCATTGCAAGCCCGCTTTCATGCATCCGCATCACGAACCACAACCACTCTTGCAGTTGCAGAAAATTGTATTTAGCAAATCTTCTGGAGCAGGTGGTAAAATTGTCATGATAGGCTCCAGAAAATCATTTCGCATTGTCCAACCCCATACCTGGGGTTCCAAATCATGTCCTAACCAAGTTTGAACTTGATAATATACACGGTTGAAATGTTGATGAGCAGCTGCACTTGTTGGTGGAATATTTGAAAGCTGCACAGGTTTATTAAGTTTTGTAGACTTGACGTAATGCATATAACGAAGATGATCGAGACTTTTCACAGATTTCGGAGCATTATAGACTGCCAATAAGGTTAAAATTCAAATATAATTCCTATATTTTCATTAACAATTCTGCAATTACATGGGCAGGTAAGTGTTGTTAAATAAATTAATACTGAATAAAAAGTGGATAAGTTAGGAAAAAAATAATAAAATATAATATAATAGTTAATAAAAATTGACAAATATTTATAATCATTGATTTATCGATAGTTCATCAACTATATATGGCGCGTTTTCGACCGGAGGCACCGGTTGACCTGAAGTGATGCTGTGACCGCGCGCTCTCCGCCCTCTATCTCGAAAACGGTTCACCGTATAAAAATTTTTTTTTAAACAAAAGTTGTAGAGAATTTTGTATTCTACAATATTGATAATGAATACAAATAGCAGAATCCCATAGGAAATGAGATATTTCCAAAAAAAGCGCAATAAACCGATTTTTGTGACTTTTGACCTTGAAATTTAATAGTTGCTTACACCCTACCATACGTAGGTTTTGAGACAACTTTTAGGGTGTCAATATACAAGTATTTACAGACTTACAGCTGGGTATCTCGAATTCCGAGGTGAACTTACTATAATGACTGGACTAATTATCGCTTTTGTCGCATTTTGAAACACAGGGATGAATGCACTGCACTCGGAAAAATATTGTAAATGAACCGATAATATGCATCATAACTAGATCTTAGGTAAAATATGCTATTACCGTTGAGAATGGCTTAAATAAGCAAAAGCATATGCAAATGCATATAATCCGGTCTCTAGAAATAACCTTAATTCAGTATACATACATACAAGAAAATCCAACAATATGCACAATAATTATTATAATATAACACTTACCCTTCGTGTTAAACCACTGTAGCGGCTGATGAGAAGACCACCTCCAATCAGAATAAAGTCTAACACCATTTTCACTTATTTATCACTCAAATATCAAACAAGAAACAATCTGTGCATCAAAAACATTCAATGCTGAAGATCCGAACTAAAACTCTTACAAATTAAAACAAAAATTTTTTATTTTATATTAAAAATCAATTACTCTATTCAGTTTTTTTAAACTTAAACTGTTTTATTTTCTAATATTTCCATAAGTATTTCTAATTTTTCTTTACCGGACTTCACTTTTCGAAAATATGTAAGTCTGAATTGACACTTTTTTATATTGGAAATCCCATAGAGCCCGTATGTCGTAATTGAAAGCAAATGCTGTCTCAACTGGCCTATTGTGTATACCTTCAGAATGTAGTTTCGATAGTTGTCGTAAGAATTATATGATCAATATCTTCCGCTCCCTACAAAAAGTTTAAACTGATTCTTGAACAAATTAGTAATATATAAATGTTCATAAGAATTATTAAAGTAGATGTGTGCTTCCAAAAACTAATTTAAATGAGTCCAATGAAAGTCCTGATATTCCATATTCTTTTAACTTAAACTGTTCAAGATACTGTTTGAAGAAGCTGTCTATATCTTCCATATATTAATACTAGCTGACCCCAACATTTTATAGTGTACCGAATTGTGATTATAAACCATTCTCGAATACACATGAACACACAAAAAATTTCATCAAAATCGGTCCAGCCGTTTCCTTGGAGTTAAGTCGCATACACAACATAGAAGAATAATATAAATAAAGATATTAAGAAAGTTCTTTGTAACATTTCATATTTGATGTTTTATAATTAGAGAAGTGCAGATACTTAAAATTCTGAAATACGAGTACCTACTTAATATTTGCTATAAAAAGTTTTATTTTAAAACGGTTACATAATATAGGTGTCCATTACATAATATAGTATGTGTTATAACCTGCCATGGTACAAATGACTCTACTATGATAGTTCAAGTCATACTGGTCATAGTGGTTTTTCGTCCGCTAGGCGATCTCTATCTACATATATGAGTACATACGACTGGACCGATGGCGTAGTGCTTTAAGCGGTTACCTCGCCGCTGCCTACTGCGCTGAGTGTCGTGAATTATTAACTCGTGCGGGAGCTGTGTTTAAAAAAAAATTGGTTTGTATACACTTAAAAAACCCAAAGCGTTCTGCATCGATTGAAATTGGAGTTCAATCTATGCAGTCCAATCCCTTTAGTAATTGATTTTATGTATTTTTCAGTTTTGTTCCTCATTTCATCATCAATACAACCACATGAATGATGGCAGAAGCCATTTATAAATATGTAAAGTCAAAAAAGTTTTTCTTTTCTATTTTAATCAATTGTTTTTGTACCATATGCGTGGCTTAGCTTTACTTAAAAAAAAATATTTTTCTTTAAAAAACATTAATAGAATACATTAAAACAAAATAGAAAATCTATTCCGAGTCCGTTCAGTCATTAAATGAAATATGAATATACACATTTATCATCAAGGATAGAAAAGTTTTCAGTCTCCAACGTGCAGGCTCTCAGTTTTCTGAATTCTCATTTCTAAAAGCTTTCTTACTCTATCTCTCCGGGTCTAATTAAGATCCGTGATTTGTTTTGATCTCAGCTTGAGTTAGTTCTTTCATTTTAGCTTTAGCCTACTTATATTGGTTGAGTTGGAGGGACCCTAGGTGTAAACATTTAACTTAAACTTAATGCTGCGATTAACCTCTTATTTAATTAATTAATTACAGTTGAAATTTAATATTTTCTGATCTGCCACTGCCCTCTTAAAATATGCTATAATCAATGTAGGGCTCTGTATCGATTAGCCTACTATAAGATATTAGGACGTAGGCGTTGGGAAGGAAGAGAATAAGTCGCCTGAGGCCGGTCAATAGGGTGTTTTTTAGAGGAACCACTTACAAGGAGTCGGAAAACGAAAGGGATTTTCCACCCTGTCACCAATAAAAAGGCTTATTATCGATGTCTCTTTCACTACATTATAATGATATTGACGCCCACAGGCCAGGTGGAGTGACGATTTGCGCAAGATGGCTGGCAGGAGCTGGATGCGAGAAGCCCAAAATCGATCTAAGTGGCGTGCAATGGGAGAGGCCTATGTCCAGCAGTGGACTGCGATAGGCTGATGATGATGATGATGATGATAATAATGATATTGTTGTTCACTAAATATAATACACAGGGAAGTAAACTACTAATACTAACTAGTACGGCTAGTAGTACAAAAGGCGGCCTTTTCGCGCTGTGACAAACTTTTACAGGCAACCATGGAAAGGAGACTGATATAGGGCAACACTATTTGGGTGGTTTGTTGCACGTTCAGATTATTTAACAAAATAATATGTGGCAAGACTTTTCATTATAAATTCTCATTGACTGCTAGGATGGCGTAGTGGTTTAAGCGGTCACCTTGCCGCTTCCTACTCGGCGGAGTGTTGTGGGTTTGATCTCCAAATTTGACAACACTTAGTGTGATCTACAAATTGTTGTTCTGAATATGGGTATTCCTTGTGTAAGTTTCGCGTGTCTGAAAAGTACCCCGCAACACAGGGTACGTCTTAAAAAAAAAGATTTATAATTTATGTGTAGATGTAGTGTAGATAGGTAAGACAGATGTCTTATTACGTCTATTAATTCGTTTTATATTAACTTTAATAGTATTTGCTCCAATAACCAATCGTAAATATGTTTTCAGGATTGATGTGATGTTTTATAGGCAATCCACTTATGCTCCATAAACCCGATGGATATTTTACGAGCAGTTTATTTGTGTAAAGGCGTTTATATTTGCATGATGTACGCATATTTTTATATATTTCTGTATTAGTACATTGTAATTTTGCCAACATTTAAGTAAATATAATATTCATCATTTTTGTTTTTGTTAGCCTTTCAACTAACATTTTATTATCAGTTTTACATAACATTAAACTTGTTTCTTGGCCGTTTGGTTTGTATCGAGGCTAGACTAACATTTTAGTCTGAGCAGTGACTTTTTGACTGAATGGCGTTATTGGATGGCTAAAAGTCGGTTACGATATTTTATGGCTTCCGAGTTGCACGCGTCCATGGGCGACGGTAGTCACTTGCCATCAAGTAATCCGTTAGCCCTCATTACATAGTACAAATCTAATATCCTTTTTTTTAAAGACAACTCCTGCACTAGTAATATGTCCTGTGTAACGGGGGACTTTACATACATGAAACGGACACAACGAACACGCAATCTCAGAACAACAATTTGTGGATCATAAAAAGTGTTGTGCCATGTGGAAGCGGCGAAGTGACTGCTTAAGGGATGATTTATATTAGACCGCGCCGTGCCCGGGGCGTGCCGTGTACGTGGCCCGGATGGGGCACGGATTTGAAACGTTACATACATTTTATATGAACCAGTTTATATTACACAGTGCATAATCCGTGTCCCGTCCGGGCCCGGACGACGCTCGTCTTCACGACGGTTGCTGCACGGTCCCGCTCCCGTCCCGTCGTAATACGAACACTCTTCCGTGCTGCGTACGGGCAGTGAGCGACGAATGTTTAGTGAGGGAGCACGTACGTTCTCTTTGTTGGTTCTTCTTAGTCCTTGCTTCTGCTTCCTCTTCATCAATAGCTATCGCAATAGCAGCCATCTCCACTAAAGAAAACTCCATTGTTATTAAATTGCAATAATTGGGAATTATTCACATCACTACGCCATATTGAAGCGACCGTGGCGGCTTGTAACCCGTTGAACACTCGGTGTAGTATACGCATGCAGCACGGACGGGCTACGCTCCGGCCCCGCCCCGGCCCGGACACGGACCGGTCTAATATAAATCTTCCCTAAACCACTACGCATCCGTGCAGTCCCAAGTAGGTAAATATATTTTAATCGTTCTAGAAGTCTACGTTTTCAAATTTGTATCTAGATAATGCTTCGTAATATATATTAGAATATTAATACATGTCCACGTGATGCAACATTGCAATTTATCATATATACGCAACATTAGGTATATTATATGTTGCATTGACTCAATACCTATTTATGAATTATAAATAATAAAAAGCGACCTTAACACCAATGTAATTAAACTGATTTTCCGTTTCATACGCTGATTGTGCGGTCAGACACAATAATAATGGTGCAATTATGAAGCAAAGCTATTTACTTTCTTTTAAAAAAAAATCTATTTAGGTCTTGAATGGAAACGTAAAATAAAAACATATTTTTGCTAAAAGCTATTTATAATCTAAAATGAGGCTCTAAAATCTTCAAACTTAGGATAGGCTAACACAATCACTGAGACATTTTACAAAAGCTAGTACCTATATAGAGATAACAGCATCTTTAAAAACCCCCGACGCAAAAAAAAACCTTAAAAACAACAACTCACAGAAAACCGGTGTTAAGCAATTCTTTCGTTGCCAGGGGGAGGGACTTTAAGGACGGCAACGCACTAATGACTTTGAGTTGCAGGTGTCCATGGGCGGCGGTAGTTGCTTACCATCAGGTGACCCGTCTGCTTGTTTGCCCCCTTATACCAGAAACAAAAACTGCTCATTGAGGCTGATCTAATAAGCCCGAAATTTTTCCATCCGTTCGGGAGCTATGATGATACAGACAGACAGACGGATACAGAGATACGCAGATACACAGGTTAAACTTATAACGCCCCTCGTTTTGCTTCGGGAGTTAAAACTAGTCTATAAAATGACTAGGATCACCCAGGGATCTAAGTGAAGCACTAAAGAACAAAAACCTACTCCTATTTTTAACGGAAAAGGAGGGAGTTAAAAATAGGAGTAGGTACGAGAAAGGTTTTTTTTTCAATTGTTGCAAAGCTCAATGCTTACTAAACCAAAAAAAGAAAACACGTTTGACAACCAAAAGATGAAAAGTATCTGAACAGTTTTGTTTTTGCGTACCTAGTTCTACGAGTATAAATTATATTAAGTATGTGTTAGTTGATTTGACCGTACCTCATTAAGTTCCGTTTTGTTTTACATCTGGTATGATTTTTTTAACCGTCTTTGACTTTTCGTCACACGTACGTTCAACACGTACTGAACGTAACTTATCCCATGATCAGGGATTTGACCTTTCTACACTTTTTCTACAAACAAACTAAGGAGGTATACCAAATTTCACATTTATTTACGAGCGATTTTTTCTTAAAAATGCTTACAAAGATGGGATATCTTTGTGCCCATTTACGTATACGAAATATATAAGTATAATATGTACATATTATTTACAAGGTGCAACAAATTCAGGGTGTCCCTTAAACAAATAACACTTAACACATTTGCACTTTATGTCAGGCAATACAACATACTGTGGCACCACGCCATGAAAGAAAGGGCTGCTGGATGATCGTGTAGGGTGACCATGAAACCTTCGATGGTCATTTTAACCCATAAAAATAAAAAGGACGTGTTATTAGCTTAAAGTGTGTAAATACGTCTGTGTGTTTATGTGTATCTGTGTCTGGCTGTTGCATAATAACTTCTAAACGGATAGACCCAGTCGAAACTATTCTTAACTATAAGTAAAGAAAACCTGTCAAGCCGTTCGATTATCACTGGTTCTTTTTTAGTCTTTAATGAGTTTTTGAGTCGTTTCAAATTATTAATTTATACTTACGACATTAAATATGAATTAACTTTTATGTGCCTAAATCTCGCTATTTTTAGTAAGAACAAGATTAATTTGCCATAGGTTGTATTGCCGATAAGAAGACTTTTTTAACTACTTCCACCCGTATCCATTTCCTCAGATATTACAAAATGTAATAAAACATAATTAGTACTTTATACATAGAGCCTTTATGGTGGCACCAAATCAACACCATTTTGTAAATTGTAAGGAACTTCTATTTGCTAGTCAAAGTCTCATTGTACGTTAATGAACATTACCAAATTAACGCTAAATATTATTAATTTTGGATTATGTGTTTTTTTAAACAAACATAAACCTTAAATTAAATTGACTGTCCTACGTTAATATTAACATATGGTTTCACTATCAACCCCTTATTGCATTATAACAATACCTACCTACTTAGTTTTCTTCGCAGCCAATCGTCGCAAGGTAGATATTTTTAAATTTAAGTTAAAAAAGGACTAGTATCGATGAATTCCTTGTACGTATTTTTCATTAATTCAATAAATATATTGGAATGATCAAACATAACAATGACGGTCGAATTTTCTGGTAATGGTTTATCACGTGTGTTGAGTATGGTGGGAGCGGCCAACAAATCGCAATGATAACTAATTAATTTGTTGAAAATGCATATTTTAATCTTAAGAACTCTCTCGAACTCGGAAAACGCTGAAATAATATGTTTATTATATCGTTATAAAAAAAACAACCCTCGTCACGTCTGTCTCTTTTTTCTCTATCTGTCTGAATGCGAAAAAGCAAGATTTGTCAAAAATACATACATACAATTATAGTCGCGAGAACTTTCTCGAAACTCGAAAATCGCTGAAATAATAGATTTATATTATCATTTAATTCAGAAATTAAAATTCAATTCAGAAATTCCTTTTTATTTGGTAAGGATTTTCTTGACAAGCCTTTAGGCTATCATGGAAACTATAGCTTAAAGCCTGTCAGCTCCAGCTTTATTTTGAATAGTAATTTAATGCAATACGTTTGAATACACATACTATGTGCGATATTTATAAAGATGCTTTTGTTTTAGGCACTTGTCCACACTCTAATAGTATATAATGCACATAAAAGGATTGTATTAAAAATTAGAAAAACCCTCGACACACATCTTGGATTTGAAATTTGTCATAGTGTATAGTGTTCTACTAGTCAAGCCCTTTTATTTGATACGAACATTGAAGGAGTTGTGAAAAAAATTGTAACAATTTTCATGAAACATAGCTAACAACACTCCCGACCATCCCGGTTCATCCGTTCGGGAGCTACGATGCTACAGACAGACACACACACACACAGACATGTCAAACTTATAACACCCCGTCGTTTGTCCGTCGGGGGTTAAAAATGGGGTAAAATGACACAAAGTAATAGCGGGCTGAATTCATTTTATTTTAATATATGTATATTCTATGTATGTAATAAATATATCAAGGTACGCTACTCGAGATACACTTCTTAGTTACTTAGTTTAGTAATTACATTTGTACTAAATATGATCTACTACATACTTGGAAACTAATACATTGTAAAATTATTATGGATACTTTTCTACAAGTGCTACTAAAAGACGTATTGACTACTATATTAGTGGTATGTAAAATAATACTATTTTGGGCATTGGAATCAAAATCATAAGCAAAATATTTAAAGTGTCTGTATAATAATTTTCCGTAAACTAGTATATATGAGTGCCTTCGACAATTTTCAACTTGTTTCTAGAAGTAAAACTTATTCTTCTTTTATTGAAGTCTCCGTCTACTATTACCATTTAGATAGAAATAAAAATATTACAAATTTTCTTAGGTGTCAAGAGCATGAATATTATTGCCAGGTATTAGGTGTATCCATACAAAATGCTTCATAAATTATTCTTTCGCAAAGACTCAGTTACCAGTTCATTTAAGCATCAAATTCTCATAGAGGAATTCAGCTCTATGAGTTTTGTTAGGATAATAATACAATTCACTCATTCTATGATAATTAGGAGAGGATAACTATTCGCTTACCATTACATTCACTTGTGGTATGCATATTTTAAACATTTTGGTACAATGCTATACGTGTAGACATAAATATATGATGGACATTACTAGTTATGATGTTTTATTTAGGTATTTTTACAGCCAATACTTCTTTTTAGTATACTTTTGCCTAGTGGTTAAGGCGTTGGATTTGCGATCAAGAGGTCGTGGATTCAAATCCTGACCAGTACACTACCGACGTGAACTCACATCTAACACAAGCAATTTAGCTCAGCGGGAATACTAGTAATTTCGGTTGCTAGAAGACCTTTAAAAAAAACTTCTATTACCCAAATTCACTATAGGATAATTCAGATAATTACTATGGGATAATTATATTCGTAAACAATATTTTCAAAATTGCTCAAGATAACTCATAAGAGACCCGCTCTTTAGACTTTATATTTCCTCATTTCCCAGTCAGCAATTATTGGAAATTAGTTCCTTAACTTGTTACCAGAAATTTACTGGCTACAATCGCAATCAAACCAGTTTTATGACTAGAGGAGATCTGATCATTAATTCGTAGAGTAAATATGATCTGTCTTTTACTCAACTGACATAGTGTTCATAAACAATCACTTTGTCAAATAAGAATGACTAGTAACAATTTCGTATCGTACGTTTATTCATTATATTGTCACAAGCACCTATCACCTCCCTCCTGAATATTCGCATTTCCGATTCTGTGAAGCAGTTAACATCAGGCAATAAACTAAGTAAAAACATTTTCCTTGCGTCGGACCCTAAATCTTCATTATAGCTTCGTATGTGTTGCTTCTCTTCTCTATAACTGTTCCTATCGAACTGTTTCTCATTACTGTAGCTGTTTGAGATGTAATGTTTTTGTTCAACAAAATTGTTCCTTTCATTTTGTTTGATGTAGATAATTTCTTTGGGGTTCTCTTTTATACTATTTACTTCTTTGCTTGTTACTCTGTCGATTTCATGTTCATCTTCTGCGATTTCAATATCAAAGGGATCAGAACCTTCACTGTCAGAGCTTTCTGGTTTCTTTAATGCCGACATTTCGAAGTCCATCTGTTCCTCTTTCTGATTAGGAGCCTTGGGGTTTATTGTCAAAAAAGGTCTCAAGAACTGCAGTTCTTCTGATAAGTAATACGGTCTCATTGGTGGTTTGTCGCTGTGCTGCTGTTTCAGGGACCTCATGTAGGAAATACGTATTTTTCTCCATTTGTCTCTACAATCAGGTACTGTAACAAACAAAAAAAAAAGTTAATAAAGTTTTAAAGACTGATAGACCTGTATTTGTATATAACCTGACTAAACTAACATTACAGAATTGTATGTTCAATAACACTAATTTGAAGTTGCAAGGAATGACAGTAACTACGAGTATTTAGGATTTAGAGTTTACCAACTACATGTGCCGAGTGCACTGTTACTCTTACATCAGCCAACGGATTCATTGTGTAATTTGAATCATGTTTCAACATGTTCACAACCACTTGAACAAATAATCATATACAAGTTCTAATAATTATATTTAACTTATCAGGCACTTTATGTAGGTACATGAAGAAATAAACTTATTTGTTGATTCTTAGAAATTGGTACTTCATTTTTGGAACTAAAATGAAAAACAGTCTTGGTCATAAACAAAAAAACAAAGAACCTACCCACTAATAGGAAGAATTGTAACATCTTTTTCAAGATATTTTCAATTTTATTTGGGTATCATAATAAATGAATATACACGGAAATAGCGCGTAATGGATGTCAGATCTTGACTTGTAAAAAAATCATGAAAACACCATATACTAATCTCTCTGAATAAAAATAATTGAATTTGGAAAAGGTTTAACTATTAAAAATATTGTAGTTGTGAATAAGGAAATCCCCACTTTCTTTTTTCCTTCATTACGTTATTGTCAGAAAAAAATATAGCCTCACTAGCTGGTGCCCGCGACTTAGTTCGCGTGTACATTGAACAGCGCTGCCTTAGTGGTGGGTTCGATTACCGCACCGGGAAATTTTTTAAAGAGTTGCTAAGAGGAAAAAGCCTAAGTTACTCCTTATATAGACAGCTTTATATACAGAAAAAAAACCTATTATTTTGACAATACAAACAGACACTTCAATTTTATTTATTTGTATAAAATTGTAATTTATTTATTGTATGTAATTTATTTTCCTTACATTTATAAGGAAAGTAATATAATTATAAGGACAATTTTTATTAACTTTTAAATTAATTAAATTACTTAAGAAATAAATTAACTAAGTATTTAAATAATTTTATATTTTTCTTTAATTATATTATGTAAACAAATTAAATATTATTTCAAGTTTTTCATTTTTCCCATATATTAAGTGATCCCTTTTCCTTATTTGACCTGAAAATCTGTAAAAAGTTATAAACAACCTCAATGAGTAGTATTACCTGTAGTATTGATCTTCTTAGCAATAGCAGACCATGCTCTACGATTGTGGACCTTATTGGCATATTCCGGCAAAGTTTTGTTATATAAGCAAGGGTATTTCTCTATCTCCTTCACAAAACTCACTATGTCTCTTCTGTCACTCACTTTGTTAAGCATATCGTACTTTAGTTCCATATTCGAATTATTACACAAACAAGAATTTTTGAAATCACAAACAACCGTTCGGTACGGAACGTAGTGCGCAACTGCGTCGCAATATCTGTGTGAAACATTAAAATAGCGCGCAATCGTTGTTTATGCCCCGAGTGCATAGCTAACCAATCAGAGAAGAGTATTTACACGCACACATTCTCACTTTATACATGTGTGCTTCGTCACCGGTCGATGACATCAGGCAATTGCAAATTGAGTCACATAACGAAATATTGCAGAACAGTATTCTTTATTGCGTAATATTTTAGCTGGCATATGAAAGTTTGTCTGCAATTTATACCTATACATATTATATGTTGACCTATCTGTTTAAGGAAAATGTGTTTCTGAATACATTTAAGGTATGTTTACGTTGTAAATGATACGTATTCCGTCAGAGATAAGTAAGATAATTTTAGTAAGTATTGCATAACATTATGTCATAATTTCGATAGATGCACTTAAGTAGGACTCGTGATGGATTCAATAGAAATATGTATTATTAATATTAATCATGGCGTTCTGTTTATCAATTATTTTATTTGTTGTGGGTTAATAATAAGAATGACACATAGGAATTTCAAGATAGGAAGTGAGGCAACTGTGTTTGTTGTGACATCACAATGAACACAAAACCTCTACAAGCTCAAACGTCAAATTATTATGACCGGCTCAAATCCTGAAAATAAAAACCTTATCCTCTACTGATAACATACCGCTAAGGAGGAAAACAAATATTTTAGGTTAGTCATATAACATTAATAATGAAGATCTGATCCTAAATTTGGCAGAGCCTCTACTATGGTAACCGGACTGCTGATTAACATACATATTTATAAATAAATATAAATTATAGATAAATTACACTTAGAAAAGAAGGACCATGCTCATCACATAATTATTTGTCCTAGGTGAGAATCGAACCCACTTCCTTTGGCCACAACTACAATTAGACCAACAGACTTGAGCTTGACGTGGTTACTCTGTGATTTCCCACAAGATACTAGAGAAGGAAAATAAACTCATAGGCAGCCATATTTTTGAAGAGCTCTACTCATACAACAACAGCGACAAATGAATTCGGTCATTAAATCAACACCCACTTATGTCTGAGTATGTGTAATCATTTGCTACAGCATGATTCTTCTGTGTGGTAAATCATTTTTTTCTTAGAACTGAGTTATATTTTGACTTTGAAACGTCTGTTTATTATTTTTTATCAATTCCCAAAAATAGTTTTCAATTTCTAACTTTAGTTGTGAATCCTTCTCACAATACACAACCATATTTTATTAACATGTAAATTAATGTAAAAAATTAAACATATGGCCTACTTTTATATTAAGCATTTACTTATTCTAAAATTAATTATAAATAAGTAGTTTAATAAGTTAGAGTTCTACGTTTCCTACTCAAAAAAGTTGTAATTCTTTTTTAATTATCTAAGACATTTGCTCGACTGAAACTATCTAAAAGTGCACAATGAAAAATGTAACTACACATATTTAATAACACATATCTTAACCAAACATCCTATATCTTAAAAGACAAATCTTACAACACAACAAAACACACAAGCGCTCACCTCTGCGCACATTCAATCACATTGTCACCTTGATCACGGTGAACAACATTAAATGCATACAATTTTAATTTTATTAATTGTTGCTTGTTTTTGTTTGTTTTTCTTTATTAAGCAATAGACAAGACCAGACATTTGTTCATCTACATTTTTATTTATTTATTAACCCTTAATACCCAAAAATTTACAATGGTGAACTTAATGGCATAGGCATTCTCTGCGAGTCTACCTCACCTTACATTTTGCGTTGTCTCATGTCAATGTGACGCCTGCCACTCGTCTTTTCAAACTCCTGATTCGAAGAATTATAATTATCGATCAGAAAAACCCATAAACATTTTTACGAACAAACAATTCGTAAAACAAGCTACGTGTGTAGTAATAAACATAAAATTATTGGGGAAAAAAAACTATGCTGACTAAACGAGTATATACGATAAATAAAAACACATAGACGCTTCTTAAAGAAGCTCTGTTCCATTCTGTCAGGGTAGGTTATGGCTTGATCGGACGAAGGCTTTCTCCGCTTTTATATGACTTCAGTCACTGTAAACCCAACGGTAACCGCTGGATAATATTCCCAAAAAGAATAGTTTCGATCAATAAGAGCCAACAGTCTGATCACTAAGGTCTGCATTCACTGATGAAGAATACTTTTTCCGCCAAATCCTGTGCTAATTTAATAACCGCCCAAAATTTACCCCCTTTGTTCAACTAACCGAATTTGACGAGGAATGTGAACTTGCTCGCTCCAGCTCTACATTTTGATGAACTTCCATCTTTATTGATGAATGATATCGGATATTCCGAGGATTTTGGGCAAAAGTAATTGCATAAACAAGAAATGGATGAATATATATATAATGTATGAGAATTGTATAAATATACTGCACTGCATTGACTGCACTGGTTCAAGCCACGTTGCTTACTACCATGCTCGGATCCCCAACTTTCTTTGTCGGTCCGATCTCGTCATGGGACGACCCTTTGCGTGATCCACAAATTGTTGTTCTGAGTCTGGGTATTCTTTCTGTCCGTTTCATGTATGTTTGTAAAGGAACAGGAAGGAACAGAACACAGGAAATGTAACAGGATGTTCCTTCCAAACTTTATGGAGTTGTCTTTTAAAAAAAATGCAAGAGTTTTTTTAAAGACAACTCCATAAAGAGCTTTACACATTCATATTATGAACATATGACAGAACAACAAGTTGTGGACCACACAATGTTTTGTCCCATGTGGGGATCGAATCCACAATACTCAGCGCAGTAGGAAGCGGCGAAGTGACCGCTTAAGCCACTACGTCATCCGTGAAGTCTAAAATTATATTATGAATTGATGCGTGTAATAAATTCGTTGATTTTTTTTCCAGCTTCCATTAAATTTGATGGTAAAAAGAGCTGCTCAATTGACTTTACATTTACATCCATAATTAAGGATCAGTCTTATTTCTTTTTCTATACACTTAATCAACATAGCAACAAAAACATCTGAAATAGCTAAATTTTTAATAGGTCACATAGAAATAAGAGATAGTGCTCCAGCATTCACGCCAATTCAGCGTTTCTATTGCGCATGATCAAAATGAAGTAGCACTCATCGCCCTAAGTCTACTTTTAAGTACTTGTAACACAGCCAGTCAGCATTGTGTAATCTTATTTAAGTATAAAGAAATAAAGTAAGGTAATTTTGCCGTTGCCTTTGTGCCAAGTAATCGACTGTTGGATTAGCTAACGAGTAGACCGGTGTCTAGTTTCGTTCTAATAGTGTTGCCATATCATGGAGAATTCATTGTGAGTATTAGAACCTTATCCTTACGTATGAGTTGCCTCATGTATCGAAAAAACTAGTGCGTCTGTGTTGTGTTTGTTAAGTAAATGTGATTGCGAATCAATTTAAGTGTTATCCAAAGTGTTATAAAAACTAACAATATAGGATAGCTTTCAGTTTAACCGAAGAAAAATTTAGAAGGTTTTGAACTTACCATACATAAATACATATGATCACGTCGATATCCTCAAAGGGTTAAGCACAATTCATCAACAGCCTTTAATGGTCCACTGCTTGACATAGGCCTGTCATTAGAAAGGAGGTTTTGGCCTACTATACCACGCCGGCCAGACGGGTTGGTATAGGGTTAGGTTACAGGCGCAGAGTGGCACACCGTGGTTTTAGTCGGTCCGAGTCCGACACACCACCCCGCCGCAAACCCCGGAGGGGTGACGGTCCGAGGGGATTTCCACACGTTAAAAAAAAAAAAAAAAAAAAAAGGGTTTGTGTCAAGTTTTCCTTCACTTTCCAGTGCTTTTGTCCTGCGTAGTTTTGCTCCCTTAGTCGGCTCTTACGATACCCACTGGATGAAAAGGGGTAGTGACACTCCGTATCCTTAATCCGTCACCACACGGACACAAAGTGTATTATAGAAAGAAAAGTGTATTACGAGGAAATGATAGAAAGGTTCTGGGGTCAATTGGTTTAGAAAAATATAAAAGAGATGGTAGATATCTGTTTATATTTATGACTTTCTATATAATTGTACAGATTCTAGATACTTTCACGTTTAAGTTACGTTAGAAAAGCAAGCAAGTATTTAGTTACAGATAAGTTGCAAGTTTGTTATTCGTCAGTGCAATATCAGAAAATACAATCTCACCGAAATACTTTATTGAAAGAAGAGTTACACAATATTCTGAACCATTTTAGATATACGAGAACTACAATAATTACACCTTGCTTCGACATAAATGAACCTGGCTCGACCGGAGTAACACTACGGCCTCAGAGAAAACTGGTGTTAAACAGTTCTTTTTTTCACCGAGTGAGTGAAATTAACCCCCCCACTGCTCAGTAACTAAAGGGGAGGAGGTGGCTAAAAGGGGGGCTACTAACTTGTAACTCTTGAGTTGCAGGTGTCCAAGGGCGACGGTAGTCACTTAACATCAGATGAATTGAATTAAATGAAATTTTATTCTTATTATGTAATTTTCATTATTGGCAGTGTTATTTTTGTTGTGTTGTTTCATCAACAGCCTTTAATAGTCCACTGCTGGACATAGGCCTCTCCTTAGAAAGGAGCTTTTGGCCAACTATACAATGCTAGCTAGACGGGTTGGTATAGGGTTCGGGTCAAGTATTCCTTCTCTTTGTAGTGCTGTTGTCCTGCGTAGTTTGCTCCTTTAGTCGGCTCTTACGACACCCACAGGATGAATAGGGGTGCTGACACTTCGTATTCTTAATCCGTCACCGCATGGATAATTGTGTTGTCGTTTGACGGACATTGAATCCTTTCAAAAATAAAAGAATCCCAAATCGGTACACAAATGACGCAGTAACAAAAATAATAAAAATACTAATGAAATAATAATGAATTAAGAACCTCTTTTAAACCTGTTTTTAAGTC